TGTGAGGTTCGAACTCCAGCAACCTGAGGCTGACAGCTTTGTGGAAGCAGCCACTTAAAGGCCTGAGCTAGGGCCAGGCCCCCTGTATCACACTTTATTATATTTATGCTTAAAAATCAAGGATAGTGTAAATTAACTTTCTGATAGTATGTGAAGTGGAAAATTGAACAAAGCAGCCATTTAATAAGGTCTTCATTTCAAATTCAATTCTGTGGTAATAAAAGGCAGACGTAAGAGCTGCGGTATATCAGGGTGATGAGTTTAATTTTTGAAAATGAAAAGTCACAAGGGAAGTTTTAGAGTCCATCCTCCACCTAGATGGCTGCGCTGAGCTTGCAGCTTTTGGGCAGCTTGTCGGTGGTAGGGGGTGCTGTTGTTGCACGGTTGACCCTTGCAGCCAACCCACACATGCTTTGCGTCCCGTGTGCCGTACAAGGTTTTGCTGATTGAGGCAAGAATTTATAATAATTATCGCACGCAAAATGAATATTTATAAGAGAGAAAAAACTTCACAGTTTGAAGCTTCTAAATTGAGATAAAAGCTGAAAAATCTTAAAAAGTACTCTAAAAGCTACCTCTGCACATGTATAGATTAATATTGGAAGATTTGTAGGTTTTTAATACTGTATATATTTTTGATCTGTTAAACCACTTATTGGACAAGCCTATTAAAATACTAAAGTATTTTTTCTATTGAACTTGTAAGTTTATTGTGTGTAATACAAAGTTCTTGAGTATTTAGAACTAGTTTTATAATATATGCCACTTTGTTTGCTATTATATACTCCATAAAATGCTATAATTATGAAAATTATTTAGAACCAAATGACCACTTACAGTATGCCAGCAAGAATGTTCTTTAATGTACTCTGCTCAGAATATCTGTCATTAGTTGAAAAGCAGTGTTTTCACACTGGATACATATTAGCATACCTCCTTTTACCATTTGGATTAATAGAATACTGTATTCTTTGTATCTGAGAAATCTGATATCACTCAAAAGGAATGGACATTCATGTAGCATTTGATTTTTGTGTATAGTAAAAATTGACATTTGAATTTGCTTACATATAACTTTTTATTCTCAGAATATTGAGCTTAGAGGTATCTTAGAGGTCATTTTACCAGGTTTTCCTTATTTTGTAATTGAAAAAGAATATAGGTTCATAGAGTTAAATAATTTACTCAAAGCTAAAACATCATTCCAGAAAACAGTTTCAGTAACTGGTAAAAATTGCTATGGTATTTAAGTTGTAATTTCCAGAATAGTATCCTAGCTACTTCACTCTAGAGTGGAAAGCAGTCATGCAGGAATTGTACAGATTTCTATGGTTAGTAAAATGAGAATTAATAGACTTCTGGGACAGTCTGTATTTTTCCAGTTCAAATACAATATGGGCTGTTACTTTTCTACAGACACTTGATAATTTAAGCTGTGAATATACTTGATGTGTATGGTAAACTAAAATGAATGTGGGTGTCTGGGTCCATATGTATTTTTAAGGCAAAATATGATAAAATTTAGGTGATCTTGTTTTCCTCTAACAGTATTGTGACCTACATTCTACTTTACTGAATTTTTTTCTGTCTTCTTGTATGCAGATCAGTGGGGAAGCACAGGAGCTCTTCTCTGTTCGACATGGCCCAATTCGAGCAGCTAGAATCTTACCTACTCCACAGTTTGGTGAGTAAAGAAAGCCCTGGAGGAAAAAAAAAACCCAAATCATTCAGAGTTTCTTTTGTTGTCGTGGACTACAGACACTAGAATGATAACTGAAGTCTGTTTTTCTCTTAAGTGTCCATTCCCCTTTCCCTCCTCCCCCCAAGATAAACTCTTAGTTCTGTCAGTTGAGATGGAAATAGGTAATCTTAACCAATTCAATATGGCTATTCACTTTCTGCTGTGGTTTTGATTTATCTCTGTCCTCTTTGATCTCAGTGTAGCCTCTACTTTTGCTAGCTCTTTCTCGAAGCCCTCTTCTCTCTTGGTTTTCATGGCATCGTTCTTCCAAGATCCCTTCTTTCTGACTGTGCCGCCTTTATTGTGCCTCTGGCTTGGCTTTCTTCTCTGGGTATTCCTCAAGTGTCCGTTCACATGCTTTGCTCTTCGTCTCAGTGAGACTCACTGACTCGGAGAGCTTGGTTTTCACTATTATCGTGGTTGTAGGTGACTGCTGTCTGTGTCTTCCGCTATGTCAGAAGTGTGCTTGGGGCTGTTAACCTTACAAATCTGTTCTAAGGCTGAATACTTCTTAATGTTGTGTTTAAATAGTATGTGTGCTTTGTATTTGTGCAGAGAAATCCTAATGCATGTGTATGTTAAATCTGCTATTCAGATGTCTAAATGATTCCATACTTTTGAACTATGAAAAGCTAATGTTTTCTCATTAATTTGCATGTGTTTAGCCAAGAATATTTTACATATGCACCAAAAATATAATCATATTAATCACATTTGAGTACCTTAAAATCTTTTAAAAAAGATATTAAAATATCTTTTATAGATAATAGAATTTTAATTCTATTATATTTTAGAAGATTATCCTAATGTGGAAAATCGTCTAAGATTTACAGCAGTTAATTCTCTAAATTGGTGAGAACAATATTTACTAAAACTTAGGACAGTGTGATTGTGCATAAGTAATTTTAGGGATTAATTTAGTGATTAAATCAGTTTAAATGAAATGGGAAGGATAGGGATAAAAAGACAACAATATCCTGCAACTTTATTTCTCCTTTGCTATTTTTTGACACATAAGAGATTTCAGCCTGTCTGTCTGTCTATCTCTCTCTGTCTCTCTTCTCTCTCCCTCCCCTTCCCCTCACCCTTGCAGGTATGCATACCCCCTTTGCTTCAGCTCTTTCTGCACCACCTGATTTCAGTTGTATTTGTAATTTGGTGAAAAATTCTTGGTGAAAAAGAAGGTTCTAGACCTTCTGATAAAGTTTTCACAATAACCAGCTTTATTTTTGGAGGGCTAGCATCAAGAACTTTACTATTAGAGGACTCTGCTTTGTTTCTTTTGTATATAATGCACAGAGGCAGGCTTTTATCGTTTTTATTAATGTTCAGCTTCTACTTTTGGCAAAAATGCTCCATGAAAGTATCAAACCATGAAAAGTTAATATTGCTAGTATAATTTTAAATGAAAGTGTCTTTAATTTGCTTTTGTATTTATTAGATTTCTACATGTAATATGCTTACATAAAATTGTTTAATGTATCATTTTACATGGATAAATGTTATGACTTAAACATTAATCGTATGTAGCTTTTATCATATTTGGTATATTTTTTAGATTTACTTTTATTAAATGTAATAAATAAAACTGATCCCATAAAATTTATAATAGAAAACAGTAATATCCCACTGCTCTTTCTCCCATTGTGCTTTATTCCTTCTTTTTGGTGGAAGAAGTTCTGAAGAAGCATGTGGCAGATCTTGCCTGTCTGAAGGTGTCATTATTCCTTAACTCTTGATTGATAATTTGGCCTGGATAACAACTACTTGTTTTTAATGATTTTAGTTTAGAATTAAGGTATTATGTGGGAGAGTCTGAAGACATTTTGACATCTTTTTCTTTGTATGTAGCTTGTTATTCTTTCTGGGAGTGCATAGACTGTTGCCTTTGTTCTTCATATTCTGAAAGTTGGCAGTGTTGTGTCTTGATTCATTTGTTGTCAAAGTGGAAATGCAAATTAAATGCCTTTGAGAAAATGTTTTCAGTTCATGTTGTTCATGAATTTTTCCCCTAGCTTTTCTTTTTTTCTCTTTCTGTAACTCCTACTATTTGAGTGTTACATCTCTTGTACTAGTTAATTAAAAAAATGAAAAACTTACTCTTTGGGAGATAGTTTCAGTGTTTCTCTTCTGTTGAATACATTTTTTTTGGCTGTCATGTTTTTCTTATCCTCAGTTTCTCATACCTGACACCTTTGTCCCCCTGTACACTCCTCTTTTCTCGCTTTATTCCTTAGTACAACTTATATATAATGTTAGTCGCTAAAATCCATTGAATGTAAAATGAATTTCTCATCACTTTGAGTGAAATTTATTCCAGAAATACAAGGATGGTTAATGTTTGAAAATCAGTGTAATAGAATGAAACAAATGTGTATGATAATCACAATTGAAGTAGAAAAACAGCTTTGATAAAATTTCATAGCCCCTTATAAAAGGTTTTGTAATCTACAGATAGGAAGAAATATCCTGATTATGGTAAAGATTGTCCATGAAAAAAATCTGTAGACAACATCATATACTTAATGGTGCTACCTACAAGGCTTTCTTGCTGGGAGGTCTTTGACTGCAGGTCCTTGCCATTTAAATAAGGCAAGAAAAAGAAGTGAAACATATAAATGTTAGAATGTTGAAAAATTATCTTTATTCTTTGGTCTTATGATGATGGGTTTAGAAGACAGCAGAATCTATGAACTGTTAGCAGTAATAAGTGAATATAGCAGCATTATGCATGGTTCGATGCAAGGTGTGTACAAATTCGTTTAAGTCCATTGCTTTCATTCTGACCATAGAAGGGGTCTCTGAGGATGGGATTTCTGAAGTACTTATGGCCCAGGTTGCTGGCACTCATCTCACAATGCTGAGCAACAACTTGGTTTATTTTCTCTTTACTGTTTTAATGTCACTTACTGCTTGAAAGTTCCTATTGTTTTCAACTGTGTTATATAAAGAATTCACAATTTGTCATCTACAGTGTTAAGAAAATAATAAAAATGGTGGGAGGTGAACAAAGGTATAGGAAAAAAAAATAAAAAAGTTTAAACTGAGTTTTTTAAAAGCTGGGACTCGAACTTAGGACCTTGCATTTGCCAGGCAGGCAGTGTGAGCTGTATCTACTGCGCCACTGAGCTATTTCCCTGACCAAAATGATAGTACTCATAAGGCTGTATTTAGTATCTTTTTTTTTTTTTTTTTTTTGGTATTGGGAACCAAACTCAGGACCTTGTACTTGCCAGGCAGGCATTGTACTGCCAAACTACATCTCCAGCCCTAAGTTAAAAAGCTTTAGATTGCCTTTTCTTCCCGTTTGGGAATGCCAGTGGCCAACAGTTTTATGTTGCTTGTCATTTGCTACACAGTCTGCCTATGCAGACAGAAGTAGTCGTTTGCCTGTCTTTTTCTTTTTTTCTGTCTTTCTTTCTGTCTTTTTCTTTTATATATGAATGACTAGTTACTGTTTGTGAAACAAACATGGACAGAACAAATTAAGAGTTTTTAATTTATTAGTCATAATTTGTTTTTTTTGGGGGGAAATTCTTATAGTACGTTTTTACATGTTGATGCCCAGCATTTTTAAAGGTACAAGTGTATATTTCATTCTTCAGACAATGCAATTGTGGTTTTTTTCTTTTTACCATAGCCAGAGAAATACTTGATTTTCTATGAATTCAGGATTTATTACAACTCTCTAGAAGTGCTTGCTGTACTTTTTTGAGTCCTATAAAACATAGAGACACATAGACAGACAGACAGACAGACGCATGCATGCACGCATGCACACACCAGTCTGTTCAGCTCAAACAGCAGCAAACTTTCAAAAGTAGGCCAACTGACATTTGTTTACTGTCATCATGAATGTATTGCAAAGAAGAGAAAACAGGCTTATTGACATTTTAAATAGCTAAAGTATAAGATTTAGGGCTTCCTTAATGTTTTCTGCTCTAATTCCTTCTCAGTTTACATCATGTATTTCTTTCATTATACTTAGTCTTTATCATTGAGTCTTTTCTGCTAGTGATTAGATTTTTATATTTTGCCAAGTATTGTAGTTTGGGTAAATTGTAATTTGGGCATATGTTGATCTCAAAATTTGTTGTTTTTGTCAGAGGATGGGTTTCTAGTCTCTGCTTTTGAGGCACTGCTTTTTCAGTTTTTGGCAATGTTGTGATGTTGGTTTTGACAAATCGTGTATCTAAACCCTTTAATTAGGGACTTTTCCTGTGTGGGCTATAGAGAGGAAGTATACTGAACAGAAATGAGAGGAAGGAAATTTATAAATTATGTGAATTGTAGGGCTTGTTATCTGAAAAAGATGACATTCTCAGTTGATTATATGTTGTCTTCACACTTCTGCAAGTCACGTACCATTATCCTGACCTCCAAGTGAGGAGACTTGGGGCCGAAAGAGAGGACGTGACTGGCACACAGCTGACATGTGCTGGAGCTGAAATTTGGGCTGTGAATCTCACTCAACCTTGGCCTTGCAGTTCCCCATGAATCTGATTTTTCATAACTACAGGAAACACTTGTGCCAACCAAGGTGTTTCTGGGTTGTTTCTCTTATGGTAGGAGCTACACAGTTGTGTATTTCTTAGACAATTTAAAATTTAATTTATTTTTAATTTTTTCATTGTGGCCTGTTGATTATCTCAGTGTGTTAATTGTATCTGGAGACCTTAATTGTTAAAAGAAAAGTGTTAACTTGGCACCAATGTATTAAACCACTTCTACACTATGAATTTACAATTTAAGCTGTTGGGATAAAGATAAAAGTCTAAGTTTTGTTTGCTTTTAATTAAATCAACTTTGTTGATTCGCTTTTATGTAACTTTGAATAAACTAATGAGAGTACATAAGATATCTCAAATCAGATTTAGAAAAAAGGTGTAACATGATGCAACTAAATTACATGGGAGCTGAATGATTCTGACCCAAATAAACAG